ATCCAAGCGGATAGGGACGTAATCATTAGTTTTTAATTTAATTATGGAAAGTTGAGAGTTTTAAAAACGTAATTAGGGGGCATTCAGTCACTATAACAAGAGATTACCTTATTTAGTGCATTGTAATTATAATTGTATCATTGTATAAATAAAAAAAATTGAAAAAAAAATACAAATATACAGCAAGATTAAGACATAAAATGTAGTCATTTTTTTATAAATAGCATACTTATAGCTATTGAATTTCAATAACCCTACAACTATAGTCATTTTTGTAAGTTGCTCTTTTAATAATTCCAATTCCAAACAAAAAAAAGAGGTTCTATTGTAGCAGCAGTAGCTTCCTATTTTGTCTTTCGGATAGACTCTTTAAGTATTGTTCATTGTCCTAGGATAATGTAGCTTCGTATGATGTTCTCTATATTCAACAATATTTGTGTACTCCATTATTTTAACTAGAGTCAATTTGAAGCTAGCCTTTTAAAGTAAAGATAAACGGTTCTTAAATAGAGTTTTTTTTATCTATGCCTTAATGAATAAAGTTATTTATGTCAATGGAAGGTAACAAAATAACAATAATATTAGTGTAGTTTTACAAAGTATTTTTTACGAATTTTATTCTGATAAATGATTCGTAATTTAAAGAACAACATTTTAAAGTAGTACATAAAAAGAAATAATGAAAGTATAAGAAAAAAACAGATATAATAATAAAACAACAGATTGTAACAAAATAATACAATAATCGAAGCTCGAAATAATAGAAATCAAAGGACAAAAAACTACAAAAATAATACTACCAAACTATTAGTAAGGATGAATATCAAGACAATACACTTCTACCTAATAACCTTCTTCGTTTCCTCCACAACCTCTCATCTAAATTCTAATTAAACGAAAAATATGTCGTATCATATTTAATCATCTCTTTCTAATACTTCTTCAGTTTATCTTTACCCCTCTTAAAATCATCTATAATCAATCTCTTATTTTCTCTTTAAATATTCTCATTTCAAATTTATAATTTTCTAATACCTACACAATCGCAACATTTCATTTCCACGGTGAGATAATTCTAAAAATTCGGTTGCGTCGTGCGTCACCGCTTATTTGATTACATTAGAAGATGTGTTGCATGTCTTGTAAACAATTCAAAGATAAACAGCTAAATATACAAAGTACAAACGCATAAAGCTGCCGACAATATCCAGCTGTCACATTATATAACCACCAGTCTCGCCGGCCATTACATGGCGCTGATTTATTACTATTCTATTCAAAAATATATCCCGCTAAACCTAATCCCCCACCACCCAACACATATCAAATCATTGTGTCCCTTTCTCACTATTTATTTTCTCCAAATATAAAATGTTCTTTTAACTTAACAAGATATTTAAATAAAAAAAATATTTTTGAAATTTATGTTCTAAATTATTTTATTAAGGGATAAAAAGGATATTTTTAATAGTAGTAATGTATCACTCCCTCCGTCTCAATTTATATGGTTTACTTTCATTTTTAGTCGGTCTAAAAAAATAACATATTTTTATATTTAATAACAATTTGACTTTAAAAAGTCTAGGATATCCATAATGAAATGATTTACAAAAACACAAATATATATTTTAGACCATAAGTTTAAAAAGTTTTTTATTTCTAAGTCAAACTAAATTATATAAATTGAGATGAACGGAGTAATATTTTTATTAAAAAAACGCTAAATAAAAAGGTTGACACGGAAAAGGTGAAGTAATAAATAAAAGAACAATTTTTTTTTGTTCCTGCAATTCCTCCCTCAATTCACGCCAAATTTTCTCTTTCTTCCCTTACCCCAATAGTTCCATCTCTTTGCTCTCTTTCCAAATCCCCCAAAATTCTAGGGTTTTCATTTTTCTGTTGAATTTTGGATCGGTGCTTTGTTTTAGTTTTTGGGTAGAGGTTCCGATTCCTGGATTTTGTGGCAGAATTTTGGGGGATTCCAATTGTATATTAGGAGAAAGAGATGAGTTTTCAAGATCTTGAAGCGGGTCGACCATTGGGGCCCCGTAGAGGGTATATGAATGGTAAGCAAGACCCAACTCAAGCTGTGGCTTCTGGAATTTTCCAGATTAACACTGCTGTGTCGACGTTTCAAAGGCTGGTCAATACACTTGGAACACCCAAAGATACACCCGAGCTGCGTGAGAAGTTGTAAGCTCTCGATATTTTGTCCTGATTGTGATAAATTGAAGTTGTAAGCTGAATGTTTGGGTGAAATTCTGCAATTTTTAATACAGTTGGAATTGCATGCATTACTTGTTGAATTTGATGTTTTGTGGACTTACTGTATTGTCAATTGATGGATTAATTTTGAGACAAGTTTATAGCTTTTGTGGTGATTGAGGTCGTACAGTAGCAATTATCATTTACTGAGATAGACCGGGTCAACTGATACTGTTTTGTGGTATTTTTGTTAAGTGATTTCATCTTTAACTGTTAATTCGTGAATTTATAACTCATCCTGTATTAGTTTTAGCGTACACACACACAGTCAGAAAGAGCATTATACTTGAAACTTGTGTTCTGCATTTGAGGAAACTTTTGAGGAAGGCCTCAGCACATGGCACACGCTAAAAATGATGTCTAAATTATCACTGAACATGTGCAAATGAGTTCTTCTGATCACTTTGAGAGTTTTGATCTAGAGAAAATCAGTAAGCTTGCAAAATATTTTAAATCAAAATTTTAGAAACCATTTTCAGTTTTTTTGTCCACCTATACTTCTTCTGGATGACTGGGAGGAATATATTGTTCAGTATATGGTTCTGATGAATGATAAAACATGTTTTTAGGCTAACTATATACATGTTGTGGGAAGAAGTTTGAACTTCATGTTCATGTGCCTTTTAGAGGGTTAAATAAGGCTTTGCTCTACTACTTACTCAAACTGGAATTGGTTTACAGAAAGTATTAACTAGTGTCACTTTTCAAAAGAAAAGGGATTTACTAGTTGTATGTTTGCGCTTAGACTTTTATATGGACAAATTCTTTTAAAATGTTGCCACCCTACTATGTTCGATATTGAAACTTCTCTTTGTGTGTGCATACGGTGTTTATTGTGCAATACTCTAAAAAAGAAAAACTTTTAAAACTTGTGGTCCAAAATGAATAATAGAAATTTGTGTGACTGTGAATCATTTCATTAAGGGTAAAATAGATATTTTATAGTTAAATTGTTACTTAATATAGAAATGTGTCATTCTTTTTGGGACTGACTAAAAAGGAAAGTAAGTCACATAAATTGGGATAGAGGGAGTATTCAAGTTGTTGAGTGAGTTCTTACCGGAAGAGGTTTGCCTATCATTGCCTCTAGAATGGGACTGTGGTTGAATGTTGCGTCACTCATTCCCATGTGAAAAGTGAATATAATATGATTCACCGCAAAAAAGTGGGGTGAGGACTGTGGAGAAATGTGATATGTGGCAATCATGAATCGGACATGTTTTAACCATCACTTGGACAGATTCTATAGTCAATACTACCTTTCCGGTTCAATTTCTGTTTTCCAGCTTGGTGCTGCAATAATGAGATTCTGTTGTATTTCAGTTAGCCAAAATGTGGCTTTGCTGTTATCTTGTACTAATTAATACTACCGATTAACACTGACTTAAAAAGCTTAGTTTCACTAGGGAATTATGCTAACTTTCTCAAGTACAGGCACAAGACGAGGGTACATATTGGGCAGTTAGTGAAAGATACATCTGCAAAACTTAAGCAAGCCAGCGAAACAGATCATCGTGTTGAAGTCAGTGTAAGTATTAAGAGCTCACCTATTTCCTCTTCCCCTTTGTGTTTGCCTTAGTCAGTATGGATTTCCATGACATATATTTGCAGAATACACATGCTCTTTGTCTTCTGTCCTCACTATATATATGAGGTTCTCATCATTTTGTTTGATTAGGCTTATGTGTACTTCTTGTTCTTCACTCTTTACTTTTCTCTATGACTATTAACTATAAACTCCTGCTTTCTTCTATCAGGCTAGCAAGAAAATTACAGATGCTAAACTTGCTAAAGATTTTCAAGCAGTCTTGAAGGAGTTTCAAAAGGCTCAAAGGCTTGCAGCTGAGAGAGAGACAGCGTATACACCTTTTGTTCCCCAAGCAGTTCTTCCTTCTAGGTAAGTTTTTCCTGATGGTACTTCATTATATGAAATTTCTGTCAGCTTCATAAAAGTATGAAATGTTTATTAGAAACCTGAGTTTATCAACACATGAAATACATATAAGCAACGTCTCCTAGGGCTTTTGTGTGGTGGTAACAGTGCAACATGGGATGTGTGGTCAAGCGCATGTTGGGGGTCCTAGTATTTAAGTGGAGAACAGTAGCGGGGTGGGCACATTATTCAAGTAGTTTCGGACCTTGCGCTGCAGGTTCTCTTTCATGGTTATAAAGAAAATAATACGTATAAGCAACTTCTGCCTCAGACTGCAGGAATGATAAATTCACTGTCTCTTTAGTTAACAATCTCAAATGAAATGTTTTGCCATCAATTCTCATTTTTGGTTTGGTCATCTTTTGGTAAACAGTTATACAGCCAGTGAGATAGATGTTTCTTCGGAAAAGAGTCCAGAACAACGGGCTCTCCTTGTGGAATCAAGAAGGTCAGTTAGCTGATCATGTTCTTGTGAAGATTTATTTAAATTTTGTGCTTATCTGTGAGATTGTTAATATCATAAATTATCAAATTCAGCTATGCATTAAGTTTATAGACACCATGATGATTCGATTAATTCGTTCGCTCTCTCCTTGTTGGCTTGTTCAAAGTGTGTGCTTCTTCAAAGTCACACTGCTCAACCTGTGCGAAAGTGATAACCATTTATGGGTGATGATTTTTGTCTATAAACAGAATATAGTGCTGGTGTGGACGTTGGTTTAATGAAGCTACTTATCTACGCTTCCTTTAGTTGGTCATATGCTGAAGTCATATTTGTTGAGTTCAGATGCATTATATGGAGCTATTTTTGTGATGTTGTGATCTAAGAGTAGTGGTGTTGCCTCATCAGAAGATATATCCTCTTTTCTTCCTATATTTAGTAACTTCTATTCCGTTGTGCTGCAGACAAGAGGTTTTACTTTTGGACAATGAGATTGCCTTTAATGAAGCCATCATCGAAGAAAGAGAGCAGGGAATACAAGAAATACAGCAACAAATTGGTGAAGTGAATGAAATTTTCAAGGACCTTGCTGTGCTTGTTCACGAGCAAGGAGCTATGATTGGTAGGTCACTCTTGTTTTAGTATTCCAAATTTCCATATGAATGTCCTTTGATATTTACAATTCTGTTTTCTGCAGATAATATTGGTTCTAACGTTGAGAATGCACATGCTGCGACTGCACAGGGGAGATCGCAACTTGCTAAAGCTGCAAAGACCCAAAGATCAAATTCATCTCTGGTACTTTCTCACATTTGACCATTCATCTTACTGATCATAGAACTCTATGACTGGTATGCTTAAGCATTCTGTGTGTGTAGTGGCAGGCCTTTTATTAGTTCTTTTGAACTTGAATGATCGCTTATAAGCCTATTGGCTGAAGTCAAAGCTTTAATAGGTTTATGATTCTGATACTGACCAGCTACCACCTATTGTATTTTTATGGTATACTTCACATTATTGCTTTATTGGAAATAAGAAAAGGTGAAAAAACAGTAGGACCATTTAGAAGTTGGTGAGTAGTGCTTTACGTTTGGGAATATTTTAATTTATACCTTCTACATTTTATAGTATGTTTGGTAGAGTTGATAGAAGGTCTAAATTTGATTAACATGCCGTCATGACAAGTGTTCTCACTGGGCATATTCACTGTGATGGAATGATAAGAGAGGGAAGTCATGAAAGGACAGGCAGTGGTAGGTTTCATCCTTTTGGGATACTTTAGATGGTTCCTTTTTTAGATCATACAGTCCATTCTATTTTCACATGGCCCTTATATCAAATCCGGTTGAGAAACCAGTCATGTTGCTTATTTTCTTTCCCTTCGGAGTACCACTTCTATTTTTTATACTTTACATTCCTTACACTGAACAATATATGCTCTGTAAATGATTTCCCTAACTTATAATATTTTCTGCAGACTTGCTTATCCCTGGTGATTTTCGGAATCATGCTCCTCATTGTGATCATAGTACTTGCAGCCTGAGCTGAAGATTACTGGGATATAGAAAAGGGTCCCGAACTCTGTTCAGATACAGAAGTGAGTGCTTTGATTCGAAAAAAAGTGACTCTTGTGATTCGAGTTCTTTCAATAGGCACCCTGGAGTGTGGCTCGGTTGTCCCAATCCTTGGTTCTTCTAGTCATAGTAGACAAGTCGTGTAGTTAGGGAGGTGGGATAGCAAAGATTCCTGTTCAACTTGTAAACCTGGTGCTGTGTTTGCAAGATGTATTGCTGCCATGTAATGGTGGGTCTGTCAATAACAATTTATTTTTGTTTGAGGAGCAATCTCTTATATTTTCCCTTTGGATACTCTTGAACCAGATGACATTCAATTCTTTATTGATGCTTGTGTGTGTGAAGTTATCACTAATGGGATATGTTGATTTGTTTATCTTGTTTGGTGGATAATCTTGCATGAGAAGTTTCCTGCTTCTATTTCTTGTATGGCAACCTGATGTGTCCGTAATTATAAGATAAAACTTATGCATCCAAGGGTTGTGGCCCCCTTGTGGCCTAGTGACCAATGAAGTGAGAAGAATCATTGAGGTCTTAGGTTAACGTCCCAATTTATGGCGAGGCAGGTGAAGTTTGTTTCGGACTATGATCTACTTTTGCTGAAGTTTGGAGGAGATAATATTTTCCATTTTATGGACACTGAAGGTCGCTATTGATAAGTTTTCTTCAGTCTCAAATCTGTAATTCTGTATATATTTTTTTTCATTATAAGTGGCAGTGAAATCACATTAATAGGGTCATTTGTGGCGGTGAAAATTGAAATAGTATATGTATCCATCATTGGATGTGTTCGTGTTGTAACTATGAAAGCTGTACGTATAAATATAGTTGATCTGAGAAATTAGCAAATGGCAAAAGCAGCAATACACTTAAATACATAGCAGAAACAAACAGCGTGTGTCGGGTTGTTTTCCTTCATCGTGGCAGCGCAGAAACCAGTCAGGTGGAGCAAATTCAATTCTAGAGAAATAACCGGTGTCCCAGTGGCTCGCAGTAAGTCATGTTTCAGTCATTCAGTGAACTCTTCAACATTTGGGTCTACCAAATTTTCATGTTTGCTAAAGTAGGATTATGTAACATATAATTTATCAAGATTAGGTGCATGGTCCTGAAGAAGACGGGGAAAATGTAAATATGCATTGATAAAATTGAGTAAAGTTTTATTGGCAACACCAATCTGTTAACAGTTTTCTGTAAATTTGAATATTACTAACTCCCAAACTGCATATAACGATGAATAATTGCACATCTTGAGTATAATGTTAAGACATTTAATTGTTCTAAACATAGTCTATTACCTCATATTTATGCAAGTTGTTTATATAACTGAGAAGATGGATCATCAGGTATTCATTTCCATGTGAGGAGGCAGCAGTGATATCTATGAAGCAAAGATAATGGGGATATTATTTTTATAGAGCTTTATATGTACCACATCGGAATAAGATAATGTGTAGACAGCCGAAAGCTGCTACATAAACAAATTTTAATTCAGTTGTTAAAGCATACCTTTCTCGGCCTTTTGGCTAAGATCAAGTGTAGTATCTGTTCTTATCAGTTTAATATCTGATATGTGGGCCATTGGTTCACACGATATTAACTCAATTTTTTAAGGGGAAGAGTCCATTAAGGTAGCTTGCTGCCTGGGCTCTTGTGCGTTGCCCATGCGTTGCACTACTGCACGGGCCTGGCGCACCCCACCAAATGTAGTACAATTTTTTTTCATTTTAATGTAGTTCTCGTTTGTCTTGTTTTTTCATAAATTTTATCAATGTCACAATTTGTCTCTATTTGAAATTTTGAATACTTAGTTAGCAAATTTCTTGTGTGAATAGTTTGTTGAAATCACGGTCAAACTGATTTTATGCCTCATGCAACCAGGATAGTTCACAAACCATAGCAGGAACAGATATCAATCTTAGTTTCCAACAAGCTATCACTTTCTTATTGTGTGCATACAGTAGTTTTATAGATACAGCCAAATCTATGAACATGAATCACCAATAAGTTGAAACAGATCCGATATACTTTGAGAAACGAGGTGAAAACCAAACGCAATCTATAAACATTAACCAGCAATAAGCTGAAACAGATCCGATATGCTTGAGAAATGAGATGAAAACAAAATGCACATGTCAAACAGATCACTGAATCAAATAGCAATCTTTTGGAGCATGAACACAGCTAGAAACAAACACTACGTTAGGTTCAAATCTACAAATCCTGGAAACAGCAACAACATGATTCTGCTGAAACAAACCCCCATCCCACACACAAACACACTTTGTTATGATCCTATTGCAAGGTATGGGACTTAAATAACCTTGGGTTCTCCCATCTTAATTACTGGCTTTTAGGGGGTGGTTCTCTTAAGGTTGTATCACACGCAAAAAGATGGGATTTAAAGGAACAGCTAACCAGAGTTATCATATTTCTTCTTTTCTGCTTTTGAGAAGTGGTAAAAACACCACTGGTTATTGAGACAAATAGAAAATGCAGGCAAAATGGCAGACAACATAGATTTTGGTTCTTGCTATGACATAGCATTTGCGAGTTTCCAACCTTCTCAACACCATTCCAGATATTAATTAATTAACCTTGTATACAAATATTTCTAACTTAAACAATACACATATTATGATTGTGTCAGATAATTGGATTCAAATCAGTGACCAACAGCAAAAACAAAACTCTTCACATAATAAGTGATTTGAGAAATTAGTAATGGCAAAGCATTTCAAAAAATAGATAAGCAACGGCCTATACTGATAAAGGTTACCTAACATTAAGTGAGGTTCTCTTGCCAATGGTTAATCCAAAAAGGGGAAAGAAAAAACTTGCTTCGTTTATCAATTACTCATGATTGTTTTAAGACATTACTTGCTGCATTATCAGAGTACTTAATTGAGGCAACAATGATGAGAAGAGCTGATACAACAGCTGAGATGAATGTAATAGCAGATACAACTTCAGTGTGTTCTCGATTTCCACATGGTACTTCCCACACAAGCTGAGTATCAATTGATTCAGCATTCTGTTTGTCTAGCAGAAACAAACAGCCCGTGTCATCTTCTTTTCTTTCAACGTTGCAGCGCAGAAACAAGTCAGGTGAAGCAAATTCAACTCTTGAGAATCCATGTCCTAGTGGCTGCCAGTAAGAAGCCGGGATGTTACAATAAAGTCGAGAAGCTTAACAGATGTACATGGCTTCCTAGATAATACATCTTTTTTTGTACAAGTATCAACTTAAACTTCTGGGGAGTAAAAATGACTGACTACATTGGATGCCTGAAACGTATTTTAGAGACTCCGACATAATTTTGGGAATCGTTTATGTGATGTACCTGATAGCGTGCATGTAGAGGAAGTTCCATGTGTATTTCCAGTTCATCCTTCTGTTGTGATGTTAAATTGGTACCCACTTCCAGATGAACCTCAACAAGCGAGCGGTTTGACAGAAAAGAAGGCAACTCTAAATTTGTATCTCCAAAAACGGCAGCATCCCTGAAAACTACAACAAAACGTGGACAACAATAAGCCTCAAAATGACGGGTAGCAGTGTTAGAAACCCATAAAATCTAATACTTAGTAATTTACCACCACGCTGCACAAGGTGTTGTAGCTCAAAAGGATCTGCAAAGACTCCAGAAGGCAGTCTTTCAACAATTATAACCTCACAAGATTTTGGAGGCCTGGAAATGGACTCTGATGACAACTTCAATCTGAGAGTTGATGACAGACGTCGATGGGAGCCTTCACCAATCAGCTTTCCATGTAAAGCAGACAGTTTTAGTGAAAATTCGACGTTGCCTTGCAGTGATACACATGCACCGTACAGTATGTCATGTGCAATGAAATCTTCAAACTTTGAATCTACCAAATTTTCATGTTTGTTAAAGTAGGATTTTGCCACATAATTATCAACATAAGGTGCATGCACCTGAAGAAGATTGAGAAAAAAGATAATCTGGTGAATAATGGAAAGAAGTTAATGATTGCATGATTAAATTGAGCCTAAGTTTTCTTGGAAGTACCAATCCATTCACAGTTTTCTGTAAATTCGAATATTACTAACACTCGAACTGCATGTATCGAGAAATAATTGCACATCTTGAGATTTTTTAGCAGCTTGATTACTTACTTCACTTAATACTGCAGTATTGAGACATGAGCTGATCTTAGCAATTTGTATCACTGCGATGACCATTGCCAAACATCGTGCCAGAAGATCATGAAGTTCCATTGTAAATCTGAGAAGGTCATGGACATTAGGCACCGACCACATTACACATGAGAGATATTACATATTTTATACATTTACACTTCTGACAACAAACAATTCTACCACAACTCATCAGATATTACCACATTAGTTGATTTACTATTGAAAGAACTTCCTCATCTATACATAACTTCCCATAACTAATATAGATTGAAACTTATGAGATGCAACTCAAAATATCATTGTGGCAGGACAGAGGCAAATATATAATTGGTTCCACTCTAAAATACAGCTGAAGTTATGCTAAGAAGATGTTTCATGATAAAAGGGGAGATTAATTAGATTATTCAAGTTAGTTACATAATCAAGATGGTTAATTAAGATAATGAAGATGTGCGCGTACATATAAACCTCTTATCCGCATTCTCTTTTTCTCTCTCTCCTTTTCTTCATAATTGTGGTGTCCGCACCAGGTTACGCAGCTCGACTAATTTCATGAGGTACTTGCTTACTCCCACAAGCACAGGCACCTGACACCTCTGCTTGAATTTGAACTTGAGATAATCTCATGGTTCTCAATCCACTTTATTACTTTCATGCTCGTCCGTTTTGGTAGTAACTTCTTACGAATGGCTTATATTATACCCAATTACAGTAACAACATTCATTTCAGTTCGATATTTAGTTCTTTGATAACAAGATTGAATCGATTGTGTTTCCTATTATTGATTTCAATCCCCATCTCAACATGAAACCCAACTCTTTCTTCAATCTTGGCTCCAATATAAAAGAAAAAGTTTACCATGATTTCAGTTTAACAGAATATTATTTTCCAAAGAACATCAACATATTAATCACGCCAATAAAGTAGCTGATAAATAGAGAAAATAAAGGCAATATCATCACAGTCTACATGAAATAGTTTTCCTTCAGAAAAAAAAAAGTAGCAGCAGCATTACAATAAGATAAAGATTCAATTTTTAGGGTGAAATCCATCATTTCACTTCAATTTCCAGATGTTAACAGAAGCTTCATCAATCAAATTGAAGCGAAAAATTACCAGAAATGGAGGAGATTCAGATAACAATGAGGTTAACAATTTGAAAGGGAAAAAAACCCAGAAAAATTCAAAGCTGAATTTGATGAAAACCTTACCAGAGATAGCCTCTTACTGGGAAATTCCAATTACTAATTTCGTTTCAATTCAGCTGATCTGCGTTTTGTAGGGAGAAAGAAGGAGGATAACAAATCAGATCCTATACCAGTTCTTTTTTTTTCTTTCCTATTTTACTTTTCTTACTTATTTTTCTTTTGGATTTTAAATACATCAATAAAATTAAAAGAATTAAAAAGAATATTATTTTTATGAAGTTTTATAAATAAAAGGGAAAAGGGTCTGATATACCCCTCAACTTTGTCATTTGGAACTGATATGCCCCTCGTTATGATAGTGACTCATATATATTCTTACCGTTATACAAACGGCTCACATATACTCCTACCATTACAAAATGAGCTCACATATATCCTTAATTTAACGGAAGTGAAAAAAATAGCTTTAAATTTATGTTTTTGACTTTAAATATATGATCCTTCTAGCGAATTTCAAGGTATATTTTAATCTTTTTTATACATAAATTATTTTTTGACGTCTTTGATTATCATTTTTTGAGTTTCTTATTCTTATTTTATTTTTTTTCTTTCATTCGTTAGTGTAAAGAGAAATTTTTAAAACTAATTTTTTTGTGGCTATATTATAATTTTAAAATATTTTTTCCGACTATATTGTTATTTAGTTTTTCTATTGAAAAAAATTGGGTCATCTATAATAAAGTTTACAAGAAAATTAGTGAAACATAAATAAATTTGACCATCAAAATAATAACTTTAAATTAGTCGTTGAAACAAAAAAAGTAAAAAAAAAATATGTGTGAGGAGTAGGGGTGTTCACGGTTTGGATAAAAACCGATCCAAACCAAAAAACCAAACCAAACCGATAAAATAAAACCGATTTTATTTGGGTTTGGTTTGGTTTGGTTTTAGATTTTTGAGAACCGATAGTATTTGGTTTGGTTATGGTTTTATTTGAAAAAACCCGAAGAAATAACCGAACCGAACCGATGAATTATATACATATATTTTATTAATATACATACTTAATATATTATTTTTATAAACAATTTTAAAGATCTTATACATATTTTCATTAAAATTTCTTTATAATTTACTTATTGAAAGCAAAAATGCCCAAGATGAAACATTTATCTTATTGATTTCATGTATATGAGTGTCTATGTCAATTCTTTGTGGGACTGAAAATGTTATTGTCTCTTCCTTCTAGGCCAATATAGTGAATTTTAAAGCTTTATTGATAGTAAATTTAGTGATTGAAAGTTTACTAATTTAAGTCATTCTAACTATTTTTCGTTTTGAATGGATTGTTGTCACTTTTTTCACATTTTAAATGAATTGTTTCTTTTATTTTTGTGTATGGTTAATAACCGAATAACCGAACCAAACCAAGCCGAAACCGATAATCACCAAACCGATAAATGTATATTATATTTGGTTTGGTTTGGTTTTGATAATTTTAAAACCGATTAAGTTGGTTTGGTTTTGGTTTTGACCAATAACCGATCCAAACCAACCCCGTGAACACCCCTAGTGAGGAGGATTAAATATACCCATATGGGATTGTATTTTTTTTTTTTTTAAAATAATTAAAATTAATTTTTTTACTTCCGTTAGAGAAAAAAGGTATATGTGAGCCATTTGTATAGTAATAGGGGCATATATGAACCACTTTCATAATAAGGGGTATATCAACTCTAATTGATAAAGTTGAGGGGTATATCAAACCCTTAATATTATATAAGTTCACGGAAAACGTATCCAATATTTATGGGATTCAATTTTAAACGAACCTAAAGTATATGGATTGCCAAGTTCCATTTCATTTTATTCCTAGACATAACATTTCAACGCAACTTCACAACCAGTTAACTTATAAATTATGTTAGAGTTATTTAAATTTGATATTAAGTCTCTATATTTTACAAAAGAACATCAAATTTTATACTTCATGAGCATTGAGACGTAATAATGAAATGTTAGTTTCTATTAGGTAGATTTTAATTATGTACATTTAATAAAAGTCTGAGTCTTTACTATTCAAATTTCAATTATTAAACATATTTTTAAGTATGAATTTTAGTAATTCAAATCCTAATCATTTGAAGTATATATATTTTTTATTTTATTTACAATTACTTAATGAATTTGAGTAAACATATACGTGACTAAGATCTGCAATAAAATCGTTAAGATGATACATATTTAAAGATTTTAGTAAAAACGCTATTTCATTATCAGCTTCTTGCACCATTAAATATTTGACGGAAACTAAAAATGTTAACTTGTGACAGATTTAGATACTTAAAGGACTATTTTGAATGCTATCTCAAACATAGGGGAATAGTTTTGTCATTTCTCGAAAATTTAATTTTATAGCGTATATATAGGGTTTCGGGACTCACAAATCTAAATTTTCAGGCGTAAGGAGGGAAAATGAGCACCGGAAGTTCGCTGACGTCGTCACCGGCGAGGTCATCGAGTTCGACGATGGTGATGATCGGAGGAAATGTAGGGCCGTCATCGTCTACAGCTGTTGATGACTTCAATTTTCCAGCTGATCTCATCTCCGTTCAAGACCGCAAAGACGAGGCTCTTCAAGGTCAGTACAATTTTTCGCATCTACTTTTTCTTTTTGCTTAACGTTTTTAGTTTATTAGTTATAATTATATTTGTTTTCATGTTATAATCTGATTGCTTGTAAAAAGATGGAGTAACTTATTTTGCAAAACAGCTGATTAACCTCAAGCTAGGCATGAACTCATGATTTGTACTGTATGTTGACTATATGACTAATTGATTATCTTAAGCTATTGAATATTTACTCTAGTCTACAAATTTTATTGCAAGAACTTGCTTGTGTATTGAAACTTAGCAAAGTTATGCTGGTAGACAAAGCTCTAGTTTTGGGAGTGATAATATGTTTTATTAGTTGGTGGGAAATGTTGATAAAGCTCAATTTTTAGGTGTTATACTTCTGTGTATCATCAGCATGTCTATATTGTTCTATATCTAGGTTCCAGTGAAAACAAATAAGTTTCATTGGTTTTAAGTGTTTTTTCTTACCTTTTTTATGTGACTAGTTGGTTAAACCTTATAGATCATTTTTTTTCTTTAGTAGTAAAATGAATACTTATTATTATGATTCAGTGGATAGATTTTATTATGCAATAATGAAGTTGTATTCCCTTATCAAAAGTTTTTGTAAGGAAACTGTGTCGTATATCTAGATCGATCTTCTTTTTATATAGGTAGTTTTAATAAAACAGATGATGAGTGCTGTCACTTTGTTTGTAAGAAGTAAAAAGCAAGTTGGAGGGCCATTTTTATAACTTTTGTTGCTCGACAGTTTTAAATTGTTGGTTTAGATATACACTGATTAATAAGTTTGAGTAAATTCACTTGTTAATAATGAAAGTGAGTGATTTTACTCTGTCTGAAACAAGTCTAATTTTGAATGGCTTCTTGTGAACTTAGAGGAGCACCATATTTCTGATCAAATGACAAAGTAGCAACAATGTTTGCATAGATTATCAGGCATCACACCCTGGGCTATATGGGTGGAAATATTAGGGATAATGTTTCAAATATTCAAATAGGTGAAGTGTGATGGTGATTTGGTTTATTCTTGTAGAAATCAGGCAATGAGAATGATGATTGTGATTGTGATTGTGAGTGTGTTAATCATTAGAAGTATGAATGTCAGACTGGTTATCAAAGGATTAAGTTAGTCTTATATTTTATGTGAGGAAAATACTGGCACCTTTTTTGTTGTAATTGGTGGAAAATGCTGAAAGCTCCTTTAAATTTAGTGACATTGACTCCATTTTTGCTGGACAGAAGACAGACTGACAGATATATTAAGTGACTACGTCTCTTAATTTCCCTTCAAAATTATGGATGTTGGTAAAGCCATGATGTTTTAAAATTTTCTGAAGGAATAACTTAGAAGCCAATCGTCTACTGGTTTAATTTCCATTTTCCCAAGATGGAAGTAATAGAAATTGAGGACCACCTAACTGAAGACACCCTGGCAACTCTCAAGTAACGCATGTGCCAACATCATGTTAAGAAATATTCAGTGTGTTTCCACTCACCCAAAAAAGACTTAAAAAGTAAAAGCTGAAACAACGTGTTTTATTAGGATCCTTTTAAGCATTGTGCAATGATTGATGAACCACACATCCGAGAGATCATTGTTTATCCTATCAGATTTTTGTCTCTTATAATCATTGATAGATGTTTTCTAGCAAAGAAATATTTGTAAATCATCCTACTTTTTCGTTAATTCTTTTTCAACTTTTGACGAGATGGTTAACGTCATGCATGTAGAACAGCCTCTGCATCCTAAAGTTCGTTTGATAAACAATGAAGTAGACAATAAGTGCTCCTTATTCGTATGTGAAAGTAAATGTAGGTGAAAAACTAATGCGAGCTGTATTTCAGAAGGTTATATCTATTATATTGAGGATTTTTCTTTTTTGTGGTAAATCTATTATATCAAGGATTTAGCATGGTGTTGTATAAGGTAGCAAGATACTTAAATTTGTGCCTTATACTAGGTTTCTCATTTTTATATTCTCAATGCTACACTGTCTTATCTGTCAGTACTTCATGAAGAATACTCATATTTGTTAGTTGATAACTTTTAGTTGTTGGTTCAGGTATATCAGATAACTTGTGATGCGAGAACCTAATATTTTTTGGATTATTGTTAAGTAAACTGTTATCAGTTCCGTGAGCTTATTTTCTCAATTTTATCTTCTCGTGCCACTTACTTCTTGAGAAAGGACCTAAATGGTTCATGTGACTCTTTCTATCTGATGGAAAAAAGCTTTTGCCTTTGTTTTAGGCCATCAGTACATGGCTCTTATAAGTGGGAGCTTTAGGGTAGCAGAGCAGTGTCACCACAGATTAAGCCAATTGAAGTTCTTAGCTCTATAAAACTTGATGACATAATTGTAAATTAGGCAAACACCAACCAAAACAGCATGAATGGTTCTTTACCTCCCCTTTAGAATAAAATAACATCGCTTGCCATTAGTCAAAAAAGTTAGGCCTCTGAATTTGGCTTCTTGGGTTGTTCAAAACCATTTTTTTTATCAAGCTGAGAAAGGCAATGCTATAGTCTTTGCCATATTTTCTCCCGTCTTATCAGTGTAAAGTTGGAACTACACTAGGTCAATGATGTAGCGGACTCTTTATCCGAGAAATTTTCAGTTGTTAGCTGATGATATAGTTTGTTTCAGTTTTGATTCAGAGAATTAATGTTTTCTTTGTTCTGTTTGCAGTTCTCAAATCTGATCTGATGGCTTCACTGAACAAAGAGGTTAAATCCCTAGACGAAGATAGCTGGATGTTTGATGGACCTAGGTCTCGTATTCACAAGATTTCTAGGCCAGGTAGCTCGCGAAGAGCAAAAATGATGGTATCGTTCATTTAGGGAACTTGATGATCATCTTCTTTTCATGTAGGCGACATGATGATAGTGTACCTGATGCATTACTACTGTGCATTTACAGGTCGTCTTCATAAACATGTAGAAGTTGGGAAGCAGAATTCTAAGTTGGCGGCCACATTAAAATGAGGAATTATTTCTTGTGCAGAATTGCAATATAATGTAGTCTTTTATGTTAATGATTTGTACTACTATTTTTTTACTGTAATTTTTGCTGCAATGATTTTCCAGAAGCTTGAATTCCATGTGAGATTTGGTTAGATTTAGGAAATTACCCTTTCCGTTTCAGATATAAATGTGTATTGTATTGCTAATGTTACTACTTAGCCAGACGAGCGATAGCAACTCTTATTTACTAATAGATCGATCGATCTATCCACGCTAGTATAGAGAAAAAGAATATAATCATCCAGAGAGGACATATACACGAGATAATATATATATATATTTTAATCCCCTACAAAGGAAATTTAAAATGAAAAAATTGTATGAAATAACAAACTATTAATTCAAATTAAATGTTATAGCCATAGTTTATTTTATTTGTAATTTGCAGCAAACATCCCATTTTTTTGTCATCTGATTCGGTATACAATTAGTCATTTTATATATTTCGGTATAAAATGTGTGTGTTTGTATAAAGCGAGAGAAAAGTGTATATACAAATACAAATACAAATACAAATACATATATTTTCGCTTATACACTTGTAATTATAGAAATACAAATCTTATTATACAAATTACAATAAATGAATTTATACAAAACTGAACAATTTGTATAAAATTCGATGTATCTAGCGAACTATACAAATCAAAAGCTTCATAGCAAACATAAAATTTGCTATGGAGTGCAATTATGCAAACTATAGCTATAACATACAAATATGATTTTTATGTTTGTTATATGTGAAAATTGCTCATTTAAAATCCCTTCAAAGTCGAGTTTGTTGTTGTTAGAGTTCCGTGTGAGCTGTTTTCTCAAAATTGGATTTTAAAGACTTTATATTTTATGTTTTTCTTTTCTTATAGACGTACAATTGCATCAGGTTTTCCAAACTTATGTTGTATTCGTAGATATTCTTATACTAGTATCAACAGGTCGTGGGATTATTTTAGATTTGATTCTTTTATTCCACACTTGTGATTTAATAGGAACAATTTATGAACTGGTTGTCAAATATTTATATACAATATATGTATATTATATTTATATCCTATAAATACTTGTCTTTTATTTTTACTTTTAAATAATAACGTATAAATATTGCACAAAATTTGAAATTTTGATGTTCCAAAAAAATAATTATTTACATATATGTATGTAGTGTTTACTTGGTGAATACAACGGGAAATTATCCTTTTCAGTGTCAAATATGGATTTTGTGTTTTGGAAATGAAAAGTTACCAAAAAAGAACAATAAGAAATCCTTCTCCACATCGAGTTAGGATTCATCATTTTAGTAAAGTATCCAAAAAACAAAAAGTAGAAAATAATACAAAAGTTACCAAAAACAAACAAACACAGTTAAACTTAGGATTGATGATATCTACTATAAAAATAGCGCCGGTTGCCCCTCTGTTATTATTCACAAATCAATATATTACAAATTAGTATTAGGAATAATAGTTATTATGGATCAATGGAAGAAGCTTCACGTGTTATTATTCACAAATCAATATAGTACAAATTAGTATTAGGAATAATAGTTATTATGGATCAATGGAAGAAGCTTCACGTTCTTGATGCTGGATCTTTTGGAAAAGTATATTATGTCGTCAACATCCATCCTTCTTCTTTCTTATCTGCTTCCGTTGCTGCTGTTAAATGTGTTGATATGCACCGTTCTATTTCACTCCAACAAGAAGCACAAATCTTGACAAATCCTCTCCTTACGTGGTTCAATTCATTGGAGCAGACGTTAGCATCGACAATGATAATATTCCAACTTACAATTTGTTTCTTGAATATGCATCTGATGGATCACTCCATGATTTGATCAACAATTACAAGAGAGGAATGAGAAAGATGTCAGAATTGGAAGTAGGTTTCTATACATATCAAATCTTAAAGGGTATTCAACACATACATAAGAAAGGGTGGGTTCATTGTCATGCTAATGTTTTGGTTTTGGATAATGCTGAACGTGGTGGGATGCACAAGTTGAAGTTGACTGACTTTGGATTGTCGTTGAGAGTTCCCAAAGGAGTGGCCTATATATATCTGGAAGTACGTTGAGCAATCGAGGGACTTTAATTTACGCTCCTCCAGAATCTTTGACCAGTGATTTTCATGGCAGAGCTTATGATATATGGTCGCTGGGCTGCACCGTGGCAGAGATGATGACTGGGAGTCGTGTTTGGATTTATCGCAACACTAGAGATTTGCAATCACAGATTATGAATGAATACCCTATGATTTGGGGTAATGTTTCTGAGATCGCCAATGATTTTTTACACTAGTGTTTGATTAAGGATCCTCTAAGAAGATGGACGTCGGAACAACTACTCCAGCATTCATTTATTCAGCAAGCTATATGCACTCAGATGACTGAAACTCAGCGGAGGACAGCAAGGGTCAATCCTTTTGGTTGCACAGTTCCAGTACCTGAGAAGCATTTATTACTTCATCAACTAGTTTAAGGATACAATGAGATTGCAAAATTAAGCACTTATTGGCTGCTGTTGATGTATTATTATTTTACATAACACGAATTCTGTATAATACTACTTGGATATTGCATATCTTTCTAATAAAATAGTGAAACAGTTGCTTGTTCCTATCTAGATTAAATTATTTTCTGATTTAACTAAATTTAGTTATGCTGGGAAGAAAACGTTGCAATGTCTAATGAAACACTTGTATGAAAAAACTACTCTTAATGGAAGAACTGGAAATTATCACCTAAACATTACTTAATCTAAAGAAAGTACAATGAGTGATCATAAAGGAAAATGCATGATAAAATAGAACTTACTGACGAAATTAGACGAAAACAAGGCTAAAGGAAATTTGAAATGAGAAAACCAAACATCATAGAAATTGCGAAAGTCATTTTCTGGGGTTGGGTTACAAGAAATATTTTTCAAGGAAAACATCTTCCACCCAAAGGGGGAAAATGACTACCCTTACTTCCACCTAAACACTTAAAAGACATTGCAATCAATCTTTAATACTCGAAAAATTTCAACACTTTCTGTTTGCCACATTATAGTTATCTTAATAAATATACCATCTCAAAAAAAAGTAATCTTCTATAAATATTTTTACTTGAAAAGTAGTTTTTAGTCTCCGACCAAATACCTGAAGATATCTTTCACAAGATGAGTCATTTTTTCAGAAAATAGTTTTTGGAAAATGTTCAGAGTTTTGCCAAACACACGAACATGAAAATGGACAACTAAAACCAAGTTGTTTCTCTTATAATAACTGCAGTGAAAGATCCCCAGCAAGCTACGGATCTCAATCTTGCATTGACTTGGTACATGTAGGATAAGTTCTCTTTCCCACAATGGCAGATCTTTTCCAATTGCCGCCCGAGAAAGATTCTTAATTGTACTGAAGACTGAGAATCTAATTAACTCTAGTATTAAATTACTTGCTAACAGACTAGTATAAAGAAGGGTTAAGGCATCTGCCTGTTAACAACATCAAAAGTTCTGTAACTTCTACGTACTTATTAAATGACCAGCGAGCTTATACAGGGAGAAATTAAGCTCCATAAGACTAGGCATTTAGCATGGTGGATCGATTCAGCTTTATGTAAGGAAGAAACAAAAATATGGAGGTGAGCTCCATAAGACTTGTCCAGATGAATCATGAAGCTTTTCCATAAATGAAAAGAAATCCAGTGACAAAGGTCAAAATAGGTATTAGAGCTACTATCTTATGGGAAGTTTCCAGCGACCCAATCGACTAAGAGATGAGATTTCTGGATTACCTCAGGTACATCTCTTCGGTGACTGATCATACTTTTTTAGTGTTTGATGTTAGTAGCCCCATTTGCTCAGTAAGATGTTCCATGTGCTGAACATTGTACCATCCATTTTCTAGCGACTCTGTTTCAGTAGTGTTAATATTTTCTATTTCAACCGAGCCCATCTCTTCTGACTCAGTAGGGTATAGGCTTTGAAGAAACTTTTCCCAGGAGGGATCACCCACACTAGGAGGTTCTCCAATATCGTCAATCAAAGCACTTTCCCACTTGATTTGAAGGTCGGGGGGGAAAATATCATTTTCCAATGGCAATTTTCCATTTCCCCACAATGTGGGATCCATGAAAGAATCATGGCCCCTCTCTGTTCCATTAATATCCATATTGTTTTCAGGCACAATTTCTTGTAACTGCGAGGGCACAGGCATAATCATATCTGATGAAAACGGTAAAATAGGTGGCAAATCTTGAGCTCCAACCAGGGAACTGCTCTCTGAAAACTGAATGTTGGCAGACAATGAACTTTGTCCTGCAATAGCTGAAGTTGCACTTGCAAATGGCTGCGAAAAAGCATGTGAAACTTCCTGAAGAGTGACTCCTGAAATTCGATTGTTACTTCTGCCATCGAATGCATCACCAGTCGGTGAACTTTCAGGACTGTTGCTGAAGTTCTCTAACCTAGGAGAAGAATCTAGTTCCGGTATCTGCCTGAGCATTCCTTTCACTGCCTCATTCATTATAGGTTGGTACTTTACAAGCTGTCCATCAGCAGGGCTAACAGAATGATCATCTGAAGGAATATCTTGTCTAATCCTACGTTTCTTGTTTCCTTCCATCTTGCGCTTATTGTTGTCATTTTGCTGCTGTACAAACTGTGCCAAGAATCCAGGGCTGTTAACAGCTTTTGCCAGGAAAGACATCATCTGTTGCTGCCGCTGCTCCATAATCTGAAGGTTCTGCACCATGGTTTGCATCTGATTATCGGTAGTCTGCTGATGTTGTCTCAGCTTAACCAACTCCTGCATAAGCACATTCTTGTCCCTCTTCAGCCACTCAACCTCTTTCTCAATCCCAAAATTTCCAACCTCGACACAAGCCCCAACCGACGCACTCTGACCATGCAGTTGCTGCTGCTGCTGCTGCTGCTGACTCTGTCCATGAGCAGGCTTGCGCCTGCTAATATTTTTAAGCAGATGCTTTTGACCTCTTATGAATCCATCATTAGAAAATTTCCAGTTGTCCGAACCAACCTTTCTAAAGCCCTGTTTGTAGAACAAGAAAGAGAAATATTAAAAAGGAAGCCCAACTAGACGTTCACTATTAAAGTATTTCTCTAACATGTCGTAATTAGTCAAGTAGGAAAAGAAAAGAATATTTCACAAGTGACTTCACATAATCACAATGACTAGCTAAACTTTACCTTAAAAACCCAAAGAAAATCTACAAATAATTAGAGCTTGGTTCAAACTCAAAGTAGCACCTTATCTCCTAATCAACTTTTAGGCAGAACGGAATAGGAAAATATCTACAGCCTTAAGAACAAGATGACATGATGAGATGGAAGCTTAAGAGTAATGCAATCTTAGGATGCATTTGGAAAGAACACATCTTAACAACCTCGCTCTTACTAGAATTGTCTAATAGCTCCTATATAAGGAACCACTTGGTATTGAGTTTTGATTATAAAAACAATTAGTTTTCTCCCTGCTCGGCTCTTTTTTAACTAGGTATCAAAGATAAGGAGGAAAGACATCCGAGTCTAGGCAATACACTTGTCGTTGAAGTTATCTGGCAAGTTAAAGAGGCGGTTCATTTATAGTCTAAAAAAAATTGTTTTAGTCTCATCAACAAGTCGGTGAATTAACATATTAGGAGCTTCACGTCGATGAGACTAACATAGTGACCCAAAGAGCTCACTGTTCTTTGATGCACGCACCCACATGTGATGTGGCTATCCCTATCACTCACTGATTAGTAACTTCACAGGCCACGTGTGCAGAGATCATCATATGTGTCACGTCAACATTATTTCTGCATTCTCAGTCCACAACAGTAGAACATGAATTTGGATTGAACCTAGCATGTTGAATTGCTCTCTCTCCTATCAACATCAAATACTGCCTCCATTTAGCTGTATGCATTGATAGTATTATCATCACTACATGGATAATTTCACTCACTTCTAGACAGAAGAGTTGCGATGACTCAAATACTTTTGGGGATATAGATTACTCAGTCACCTCAAGAATGGCCATCTCTCAGAAAAAAATTTACTCTACATATCCTAGAGGGATTGTAAGCTGATTGACTACCCATTTTCAGTTGTAACATCATCTTGGAGAAACAAAAAGGGTTACTTTGTCCAAAACTCATAGCTCATTTTGAAATTCTATCTGAATAAAAATAGTTTCAGCTTTTAGATGAAATGATCTCACACACTTGAACATGGTAGCAGAGCAAACAAAGGTCGTGGGATCAAGTCTTACCACCACTCATTGCTTAAAAGAATTTCCATGTGCTTGCCCGTGAAAAGATACAGGATGTGAGGGCGTGTGTTGAAGAGATTGGTCAGACACTTCAACACCCACTAAATATCTATCAATCAAATATATGTTGTGAAATGACACTTCAACTAATCAAAGACAAAAAGAATCCATATAAAATATTGTCGCTATCAATTGAAAGGTTTTCGATAACAATCTTCTTTCTACTTAAATTGAAACATTTCCGATCACAAGATTGACACCATAAAGTTTAGCATTTCCAATCAACCAAAGCACACCCAAAACATTTCAGCTAAAAAATTCAAAAGATGCTAAGCATAGAACTACGAATCACCAAAGAACCCAAAACGAGTGAAGTTAAATCAGAAAAAAAAACTCAACTAAAACCAAGAGAAATGCATACATAAGTGTTCAGCTGACGAACGAAGCTGGAGAAGTTACTGTGCTTGAAATACTTAGGCAGTAACTCCTTGGCGAGCTCCGGTGGATCCCAAATCACAAAGCTGCTGTCGGTAGGACTCCATGAAACGATCTTGTCAGTACTCGGGTCATCAACCATATCATAAGTCTTCATCAAAAAAGGTGGTAGCGTATTTGTGCTAGCCATCGGCGCCGGTGTCGGTTCCGGTACCGGAGAACTTCCTCCGGCGTCCATTGAAGTAGAACCCATTGCTAAACGAAGGAATTAAATTTTCAATTGCTTAACACAACGCTGATCATATAATAATTTACAAATACTGAGGGTTTTGGAGATTTAGAAACGGAAAATTGGAAGAAGAAAAATACTAAGTTTTAGAGAGAGAAAGACGATTGATTGGGTACGAAAGTGTTGAGAGAAAATAGTTTGTACGGCGAGGGAAGAAGAAGTGGACATATATATATATATATCGGAGGGAAAAGGGAAAGAGAAGTTGGTATTTCTGGTTTTTTTTTAGAAAGTCTATAATTATAGCCTTGTTGGCGAACATTTTGGAAGATTTAAAGTGTAAAAAAAATAAAATAGTACTGTAATTAAAATTTGAGATATTTTGTTAAATATTTTTGAGAAAATAAGTATTAAATAGTATTTCATTGGTTTCATTTTTACCGGTTATTATATCTTTTGAGAGTTATTAATTTTTTATGTTAAATTGAATCAGATTAATTTTTAAAATTAAAATTTAGATATTTAGAAATTATACAAAAAATATTATAAGTTGTAATTCTTCTTATATTAATATGACGAAAAAATATTTTTAGATATTTATCAAATTTCATGTAGTTTGACTCTTGAGAAGCAAAACGTAACAAGTAAAAGTGGTTAGAAGAGTAGATTTTCCCAAAAGTATTTTTTTAGAAAAAAGAACAATTTGAGGAAATATTTTTAGCATCACTTTCTATTAATTAATTCAATCCGTAATTATTATTCAAAAGTACTTTTGAAATTGATTAATCAAATACAATTTATTTCTCGTCTTGAAAAAATATACTTCTCATAATAAGTTAATTTTAGAAATTTGACCAAACAAATTATATGATTGTATTTGGTATAAAACAAAATGTTCTTAACAAAAAAAATATATTTTTTAAAATAAATAATTTTGAATTTATCCTTTTTCATTTGATAAGCACTTTAAAAAGACAATATCTACTAACATGGGTTGTGGTGTACTGATGGGACTGTTTCACCCTTAACCAGATGTCTCAGATTAGAGCACTAAGGGAGTGTCACTCCGGGCCTTGCAATGTGGATCCGGATTTAGTCGGGGCTCAAATGTGGGCTTCGGACAACGGATGGAAAACCGAAAAATAATTGTATTGAAATTTATCAATAATACTCCCTCCATTCCTATTTAATTGTCACCATTTTAGGTTTCATGTCCTCAAAAACTAGGTAAATTTACCATTATACATTTATTTAGTGTTTTCTTGAAATCAAGTTTTTAATAAATGAACATAAATTAATTTATTTTGCTTAATTAATTTGATTAATGAACATAAATAAATTATTGTAATTAATTTTTTTATATTAATAAAATTTTATGAAATATCAAATATTAAAAAACATTTATTTTTAATAAAAACCATATAAATAGAAACAGAGAAAATGGCAACTAAGAGGTAGGATGGGAATGTATAGGGGTGGTGGAAGTTGGCAGCTTTCAAAATGAAAAGGAGACAATGTGCTTGAATTGCTGAAATTTTTAATTTTTTTTTTATATCTTCGATGTGGGTTATTATTTTACTAATTTTTAAAATTTATTTTTTTCGAAAAATATCTCCCATTATAACTAACACAAACTATTCTATTTTGTTTTCTTCTTTTTTCTTCATCCCTTCCTTTTCTTTGTGCAAAATTCAATCAAGTTTTATGATAAGAATGTATTTGCATCAAATATATATTAAGCTATTAAAATTAATTTCAACAATTAAAAAATTCAAATAAAGTATATATCATTCAATTATAATTAAATGATTAATATATGTATATATAAAATACATATTTTATATTATTATTCTAATGTAAATACCTTTGTGTATAAGTATTTACGAAGTTATATTTATGAGAAAATATTAAAATTTGCTCCTGCACCATATAAAGTATTCATATTTTCGTTATTAGTTGGAATTGGAATGTAGTGTCCATGCCTCTGCTAAACTGGCACATTTGTCCTCTTTCATTATTTTTAAAAAAAAGTGATTCGCCTGATTTTAGTCATCGAAAAGAGTACATAAATGATAATTTTCCACCGTTGATCCGTTAACTTCAGACACATATTTAGACTTTTTCCCAAAATACAAAAAGGAAAACACATTAACTTGATTTCTTTTACAAACACCTTACAAGTAGTTTGGTAAGTTGTTTTCTATAAGGCAGGTTTGATTATGCAATATGAAATCATAATATAAAATTATGAGATAAAATTAAAATTTTATTTAGACATGTGATTTGAACTTTTTTATGTTGTATGTTTCCTTATAAACATAAATATTTTATAAGTTGTAAAACTATTAAAATTGTCTCAATTCTTTATATAATCTTATCAAATTAAGCACAAGTTTATAAAATCGCACAATACACTATCACAAAGATATTCTTAAAAAATACAATATTTATTGATCAAGTTTTAATTCAATAAAAAAATAAAATTAAACATAAGTTTTGGTGTACTACTCTTTAATATAATCCTCCAATATAGTACTGACAATCTTCTCACGTTGAACTTGCATTTCTCGTTCATATAATTGAGAAAATGAACCAACATTGTTAGTTTAAGCCATTTGTTGGTCAATATGGTTGTTAAATATATTTGATAAAAAAAAATGAATTTGGTGAATATAAATAGTAGGGTAGAGATTGATTTGAAGTAATGATAAATTCTATGTTAGTGAGAATAATCATTATATGAGATCTAAATGGTTTAAAAAGTAATGATAGACTTATAAATTTTATTTACATGTGAAATAAATGGATAGTATATATATATACATATATATATCATCATACTATAGAAGTGGTGGTTCCTCAACTACTACCAAACCAAACAAAAATAGGCCACGTGGGGCTAATTAATATTTCTTTCTTTTATATAATATTTTCTATTTCTACTTTCTATTTCTTTCTATTATATTCTATTTTCTATTCTACTTCTATCTATTTTATTATTATTTTTTACTTACTTACTATATATATATATATTAGTAAACCAATCAAAAATGGCCACGTGGGCCTAATTAATATTTCTTTCTTTTATATAATATTTTCTATTTCTACTTTCTATTTCTTTCTATTATCATCATACTATATATCATACTATATAAGTGGTGGTTCCCTTGGACTACCAAGGGTATTCCCGTCATTTCCTTCCTTAAAAGAGCTCCTACCAATACTACCAAACCTATTAAAAATGGCCACATAGGGCTAATTCTATATAAGTGGTGGTTCCCTTGGACTACCAAGGGTATTCCCGTCATTTCCTTCCTTAAAAGAGCTCCTCTAATACTGCCAAACCAATCAAAACTGGCTATGTAGGGCTAATTAATATTTCTTTCTTCATCATCATCATTTTTGCTCTCAAATACTATCAAACCAATCAAAAATGGCCACGTAGGGCTAATTAATATTTCTTTCTTCATCATCATACTATATAAGTGGTGGTTCCCTTGGACTACCAAGGGTATTCCCGTCATTTCATCATATCATACTATATAAGTGGTGGTTCCCTTGGACTACCAAGGGTATTCCCGTCATTTCCTTCCTTAAAAGAGCTCCTACCAATACTACCAAACCTATCAAAAATGGCCACGTAAGGCTAATTAATATTTCTTTCTTTATCATACTATATAAGTGGTGGTTCCCTTGGACTTCCAAGGGTATTCCCATCATTTCATCTATATATATATATAGTAAGTAAAAAAAAATAAAAAAATAGATAGAAGTAGAACAGAAAATAGAATATAATAGAAAGAAATAGAAAGTAGAAATAGAAAATATTATATAAAAGAAAGAAATATTAATAGAAAGAAATAGAAAGTAGAAATAGAAAATATTATATAAAAGAAAGAAATATTAATAGAAAGAAATAGAAAGTAGAAATAGAAAATATTATATAAAAGAAAGAAATATTAATAGAAAGAAATAGAAAGTAGAAATAGAAAATATTATATAAAAGAAAGAAATATTAATAGAAAGAAATAGAAAGTAGAAATAGAAAATATTATATAAAAGAAAGAAATATTAATAGAAAGAAATAGAAAGTAGAAATAGAAAATATTATATAAAAGAAAGAAATATTAATAGAAAGAAATAGAAAGTAGAAATAGAAAATATTATATAAAAGAAAGAAATATTAATAGAAAGAAATAGAAAGTAGAAATAGAAAATATTATATAAAAGAAAGAAATATTAATAGAAAGAAATAGAAAGTAGAAATAGAAAATATTATATAAAAGAAAGAAATATTAATAGAAAGAAATAGAAAGTAGAAATAGAAAATATTATATAAAAGAAAGAAATATTAATAGAAAGAAATAGAAAGTAGAAATAGAAAATATTAAGTGGTGGTTCCCTTGGACTACCAAGGGTGTTCCCGTCATTTCCTTCCTTAAAAGAGCTCCTACCAATACTACCAAACCTATCAAAAATGGCCACGTAAGGCTAATTAATATTTCTTTCTTCATCATCATCATACTATATAAGTGGTGGTTCCCTTGGACTACCAACTTACTATATATCATCATCGTCATACTATATAAGTGGTGGTTCCCTTGGACTACCAAGGGTATTCCCGTCATTTCATCATACTACCCTCATCTAGTATATATATATATATGTGGGTTGTTTTTACAAAATATAAATTTGTGGGGTCAATTTTTGTATTTGAAAATTTTCAAATCGTGTTTTGAAATTCCCAAATTATGATTTTTGGAGAATTTGAGATTTTATCTCATGATATAAAATCATGAGATGAAATCAATATGAAATCACATGTCCAAACATTGATCTCATCTCATGATTTCAAATTGTTTTTGTTCTTCTATAAATAAATAAAACAATTCAGTTTATTTGTATATTAATTTAATATATATATATATTACAATTTTTTTAGTTATATCTCTTAGTAATTTGATTTTTATTATTAATATTTCATAAAAAGTTAATGACAAGGCTCTATTATTTTAATCAAATACTTTAAAAACATCGAAGATATGAATTTATACTTATTGTATTCCATAAAAAAAAAACTCATGATGATTAAATTCATTTACGCTTATGAAATCTAGTATACTTTAAAAGGTATATTAAAAAAAATTACCTATATATATATATATATATATATATATGTTTTGATCTACTCATAAAGTAGTAAATCTGAAGTTTATTTCTCAAATAGTAA